CAACAGTGTGCAGGGGTTCCTTTTTCTTCACATCCTCGCCAACACTTATTTCTTGTCTGTTTGATATTAGCCATTCTAACAGGTGTGAGGTGCTATCTCATTGTGATTTTGATTTTCATTTCCCTGATGATTAGTGATGTTGAACATCTTTTCAGGTACTTATTGGCTTTCTGTATGTCTTCTTTAGAAAAATGTCTATTCAGATCTTCTGCCCATTTTTAAAGTGGGTTTGTTTTTTTTTTTTTTTTTTTTTTTTTTTTTTTTTTTTTTTTTTTTTTTTTTTTGCTTTTTTTATTAAGTAATCTGCATCCCACATGGGACTTGAGCTCACAACCCTGAGATCAAGAGTTGCATGCTTTACTAACTGAGCCAGCTGGGTGCCTCTTTGCTTTATGAAGTCTTAATATGAATCTATTTTCTGATGCTTAACTGAAAGTTTTTAATTTAGCAGATTTATTATTGTAGCATGTTAAAAATTCTTTCAAAATGTGCTCTTATAGTATTGTTAAGAATATTAACATTCTTGCTAGTTGATGCTCAGAAATGTAAGAAATTAGAGACGTATAAAGGTTATGGAGACTTCTATTACATGAGTTTGGAAAAACCTCAATTTGATAAGATGAAGGGCATTAATTATGATTTTACATCATGCTTGGGTTTTAAGGAATTCTGTGGCCTAGTAAGATTCAGTTATATGGAATCTGGAACTTAGATTGTTTAGAAAATGGTGACATCACTTGTACAGATTCAATAACTGGTTAATGTTGTTGGTAATTGGGCATGTCTTTTTTTTTTCTCACAAAGTAAGGTCAAGACTTCAGTGCCAGCATGAGTTAGTTATGTCTGTCTAATGCTTAAAAATATTAATAAGTATTTCAATTTTAATGGGTATTCTCAGTCTCCCTTCAGAATTTCTGCATTTTCTAGTTTTGAAGACATTGTTAATTTAAATCTTGCAGTTTTAAGATGACCTATTTGTGAAGTCAAGGCATTTTACTTTCTGACAATGAGTGATGATTAAGTTATTAAACAAGTGACTTTAGGGAATGCAAATTTTATTTGAAATTGTACTCTACCCTTACCTAAAAGAAACTTTATCTCCAGTTTGGTTTTACTCTAATGATAATTCAAGTTTCTTCATGCTATATTTATTTTACCAAAGATCTAAGAACAGATTTAAAAATGATTTTCTACTTTTTCCCAATGGTGATAGTTCACAGCACTTGTATCATCCATTGTTATTTCAGAAGTTGTTGAAAACCTGATTGTAAGAGATAATTCACCTAGCATACCTGAGGCAATTGAAAGACTCTTCAATGACATAGGAAATATCAACAGGGATTCTATGGCTGAAATACAGGATGCTCAGGTTGGTATAAAAATAATTTTGTTTACGAAAAATTTTTGAAAGATTTTATTTTTAAGGAATCTCTACACTCAATGTGGGGCTTGAACTCATAACCCCAAGACAGGAGTCACATGCTCCACTGACTGAGCCAGCCAGGTGCCTCTGATAAGTTTTGATGATTCACCATTTTAATTATATAAAAAAATAGCCGTTGTGATTAACCATTATAAATACATAGAAATCTGTCTTTGGATTTTCAAGCCTAATGGCTTAAAAACAACTAAAGCAAAGAATAAATTATACAAAGTGGAATAATTAATTGCTCAATTATGTGAAATTTAATGAATATAGAAGTTCAAAGAAGAGAGAGATCAATATAGACTATAGTGGTTGCTGAAAGCTTCATGTGTGAGACTGAACTGGATTTGAGTTACATAAAGACAAGGGGAGGAGGTATATTAGGCAAAGCCAGCAGTATGAATAAAAGTGCATAGATATAAATAAACAAGTTGTGTTCATGGGACAGTCACATAATGTGACTACGTTTTTGGGAGGCAAGGTAGAATGGGATTAGATTATGAGGGGCCTGTAAATGACCCACAATAGTCACATAAGCATAAAACATGCAAGAAAATCCATATCATTGGAGGTGGATGGTATTTTAACTGGCTAAGAAAATGTTTTTCTTGTCCAGGTTGAAGAAATGGCAGTAAACCTATGGAACTGGGCAGTTACCAAGAGAGTAGGTTCAGTTATAAGTGAAGAGCAGAAAGCTAAATGTATGTATACATTCATTTTACAAGGAATATTTTTATTATACATTAGGTTGTGTTCCTGCAGTTTAAATAATATTTTGACTAGTTCATAAATGGGTATTTATTAAAAGAAAAATAAACAAAATGATCTATACATAGAGGTTTCTTAAGCAAACATCTTGAATTTTGTGATTTTTCAGAGGTTAGCTCCTGATTAATAAAAGTTTAAAAGCATCACTGCTTCTTTATCTATTCATCAGTTGATGTACATTTGGGCTCTTTGCATAATTTGGCTGTTGTTGATAATGCTGCTATAAACATCAGGGTGTGTATAAAGAAGCTGTGGTGTATATATACAATGGAATATTACTCAGCTATCAAAAAGAATGAAATCTTGCTATTTGCAATGACATGGATGGAGCTAGAGGGTATTATGCTAAGCGAAATAGAGAAAGACAAACACCATATGATTTCACTTATATGTGGAATTTAAGAAACAAAACAGTGAACATACAGGAAAGAAGAAAAAGAAGCAAACCATAAGAGACTCTTAAATTGGAGGACAAACTGAGGGGTGATGGAAGGAGGTGGGTGAAGGATGAGCTAAATGGGTGATGGGTATTAAGGAGGGCACTTGTTATGATGAGCACTGGGTGTTGTATGTAAGTGATGAATCACTGAATTCTACTTCTGGAACCAACATTGCACTGTATGTTAACTAACTAGAATTTATTTTTATTTTATTATTTTTAAAAAGTGTTTATTTTTGAGAGAGAGAGAGCATGAACCAGGGGAGGGGCAGAGGGAGAGAGAGAGAATCCCAAGCAGGCTCCGCACTGTCAGCACAGAGCCTGATGCAGGGCTCCAGTTCACAAACTTTGAGATCCTGACCTGAGCCGAAATCAAGAGTCGGAGGCTTGACTGACTGAGCCACCCAGACACCCCAAATAAAAATTTGGAACAAAAAAAATTAAGTGGGAAAAGTGGAGATTACAAGTACACATCCACAGAGTGAGTAAAGAATAAAAGAAAATATATTAATTTATGAATGCAGTTTAACACACACACAAATACACACAAATAAAAGCATCACCTCAAGAAATTGTCTGGTGGTGAAAAACAAAGATGATTAAAGGATGGGAAAATGAGAACTTGACACGTTAAACGACACATGGATTATCTTTCCTAGAGAAGAGATGATCAGAATCTTCAGGATTCTGAAGGGCTCTCAAATAGCAGTTTCCTTTCTCCATTAATAATAGAATGAGAAATGTTGCTATGTGAGAGATTTAGATTTAAAAATTGGTAAAGAATAGTTTCCTCATGAGGTGGGTTGATGGACTTTGGACTGAGTTACTTGAGAACAATTATAGGATTTTTTTCTACCTGTGAGAGCAAACTAAAAGAACAACAACAAAACAAAACCCCCAAACCAAACTCATGTGCTTGGATGCATTAAATGTGGTCCACTGTCTGGCAGAATTCTAGTGCTTTAGCTAAATGGCTGGGTTAGTGTGCTGGCAGTTTCTCATTTCCAACAGTGATAGTGACAGTTAATGCATTTGTGGAAAGTATATTGCTCCATTATAAAGGATACATCGAGGCAACAAGCCAAAACGTGAATCTCTGGCCTGCTTGGCTTTCTGAAGACAAATGAATTTTGTCTGCATGCAGCAAATGGAATTCATTGCTAAGTATTTATGTTTATGAATATAAACCAAACTGTATACAATTTCATTGTAGGTCTAGGGTAATTAATTAGTGGTTAATACAGTCAATAATATACTTACTCATTAGTCTATTCCTCTGTTAGGATGCTTAGAGAATAGGTCTACCTCTGTAACTGTCGGATAAATATGGATATCATTGCTCCTAGGAGTCTTGGGTCTTATAGTTATGGGGAGAGAAGAGTTAGAAGTTTACCTGTTGAAGAAACATAGTACATAGTTGAACTGTGTGATATTAAAATGCATTAATTCTAAACTCCTACAATTCTGCTTATCAAGGAACATTGTTGTAGCTATTTTTCACTACTTGTCAAATAGAGATTTGGTAGATGGATCTCTCCCAGAGAGGGAAAATAATTGAGAGATCAGGTTCCTTGAGAATACCAAAGAATTAGTAAACTTTCAAAAAATAAAGGAAACATTTTCAAAACTGGAAATGTAAGACAATGTAAATACATGATTAGGAATTAATTTGATGAAAGTTTTTTTTCAGAAACCACTTTATTAAAGGATGAATAGAATGTACATTTCATGATGAATAATAAGAAACTGACTTTAATTACCCCATTATTTCGCCTGGGCAAATCTCTTTTTCAATGGAATATTAATTGAAAATGGTATTAGTATAGGTTGAATGGCTGCTGAGATCATCTAACATCAGGGCAACTAGTTCAGTTACTTGTGAAGTCATCTTTATTGTTTTTTAATTTTTATTTACTTTTGAGAGAGAGAGACAGAGTGGAGGAGGGGCAGAGATAGGGGGACAGAGGATCTGAAGCCAGCCACATGTGGAGCTCAAACCCACGAACCGTGAGATCATGATCTGAGCCGAAGTTGGACACTTAACTAATGAGCCACCCAGGTGCCCCTGAAGTCATCTTTAAAACGTGGACATGTTGTCTGATGAGAGAAACTGTGTAAATAAAGAGCTTACAGTTATTCAGACTTTCCTATTTTCAGGGAATAAATGAACTGTATGAAGAGGATATCTATATTTTCTGAGTTATACCTCAAGAACTTTTACATCATCTATAGAAAAGAATATATTTAGACAGATTCACAGTTTAGGGGAATAATCTAAAACTATGCCCGGGGTGCCTGGGTGGCTCAGTTGGTGAAGAGTCCAACTTTGGCTCAGGTCATGATCTCGTACTCTTTTTGAGTTCGAGTCCCACATCAGGGTCTGTGCTGACAGCTCAGAGCCTGGAGCTTGCTTCAGATTCTGTATCTCCCTCTCTCTCTGACCCTCTCCTGCTCACACTCTGTGTGTCTCTCTCAAAAGTAAATAAACATTAAAAAAAATAAAAAAAACCAAAATTATTCTAATGTTCAGAAATTTTGTCAGATGTTGAATATCTTTAGATTCCAATTGTACTTAGAATTATTTTGCTGTCAGCATGGTACATACAAGAGCATCAAATGGAATCAGGTGTCTTTAGTAAGTCTTCAGAATTTAAGACTTGCAGAAATTAAAATTTGAAAATTAAATATCTGATTGGAGCATTAGGCAAATAATTCATTTGATAATTTTCAGGTCATTTACTTTTGATAATTGATTTTTTTCAAAAAGACTTTAAAGTTACTACTTTAACAACAAAAGTGCTTGCACTTTGCTCCTCATTTCTTTTTGTAAGTGTATATAAAAGGAGAATGAATGTTTTGTGTTTATGGGCATCTAATTACCGTTTTGCAGTACGGCATGTTGCTTGCAAGTTGGTGTGTATGTGTGAAGGCTCAACTGCTTCAGAAGATGCTATTCGAAGACAGATTTTGGTAAGTCTGATTTAAATGAGGAGAAAGTGCAGATGCAATGAGATAGTCGTTACTCCTTATGAAGATGGTTAAAGTTAGTGTGAACCTGGAAGGGGGTTATATCCTTTAGTGCTATCCATGTTCCTTTTAGGATAATTATACCTATTACAATTAAAGGTCTCAGCAGTACTATTGTCATTACAGTGATTCAGTGGACTAAATGTTGAACTTAAATTCAGGATTTATGATAAGTAAAAAAAATAATAGTTCTCTGCTCCATCCTTCCCACCTGTCCTGCTCCCTGGAAGTAAGTATATTTTTTTAGTGGAAAATATTTTTCCAGTGTTGTAAAACACTATTTTATTGAAAAGCTCAAGTGTATGCACAAAGATAGTACAATGATTCCCCCATTTACCCATCGCTCAGCTAGAATAACCTCCAATTCCTGATCACTCATTTTTTCTATATCTCCTCCAACAGCAAATCCCTGGCCCTGTGGATTATTTTGAAACAAATCCAAAATACAGCACTTTGTTCATAAATATTTCAATATGTGTCTCTAAATGACAAGATGTCTTTAAAAAATTTTTTTTAATGTTTTATTTTTATTTTTGACAGAGAGTATGAGTGGGGGAGGGGCAGAGAGAGAGGGAGACACAGAATCCAAAGAAGGCTCCAGGCTCTGAGCTTTCAGCACAGAGCCCGATGTGGGCCTTGAACTTCCAAACTGTGAGATCATGACCTGACCCGAAGTCAGATGCTTAACCGACTGAGCTACCCAGGTGCCCCTAAGGTGTCTTTTTAAAACATTTTTTTAATGTTTATTTATTATTTTTGAGAGAGAAAGAGTGTGAGCAGGGGTAGGGCAGAGAGAGAGGGAGACAGAATCTGAAGCAGGCTCCAGGCTCTGAGCTGTGAGCCCAGAGCCTGCCGCAGGGCT